CCTGGCCTCGGCCCCTGCAGCTTCCTGCAACGCAGCTCCTGGACGAGGGACGTCCAGGGCTCGCATCCAGTCCAGCCCCTGCCTGAGGCAGGGTCAGCCCCGTCCAAACCAGCGCAGACAAACCCCGTGTCCGATCTCCGAGCAACACACCGCAGGCCCCCCCGGCACAGCCCCAGGCATTGCCCACCCCTGCCCCCAGGAAAGCAGGGTGTCCTGCCAGTGCGTTGAATGCATCCATAGATGCTGGAGAGACCCCAGCGCCCCCGCTACAGAGGAAAGCAAAACCTCCCCTGTCTGAGCAGGGTGGAAATCCCTTCCTGCCCCAGCGCAGCGTTGGTCTGAGCCTGAGCGCGGAGGCAAGGCCCTCGTGCCAGGACCCTGCGGGGTCGGTGCAGCAGGAGCGTTGGCACAGCCCGGTGCCAGCCCCAGCCTGGGCTGAGCCAGCACCTCTGGCACCTGGAGCAGAAAGGGGGTGGGGGGCAACCAGCACAGCCCAGGAAACCTGCACAAACCCCATCCAGTGCTCGTCCAGCCTCTCCTTGACCCCCCTCCAGCAACGCAGAGCCCACCCCTTCCCTGGCACCTCTTCCACAGCCTCCCTCGGTTGACAGCCGTCCCATTTCATTTAACAGGGGCCCTAGGCTTCCCTTGTTCCTTTTGCGACTTCCTACATATCTAAAGACGGACTTTTGTTGTCCTTGAATCTGGTTGCCAGTTCATGTTTGGTTCGTGCTTTCGCTGTCCTGATCCGCTCCCTGCAGGTGCGGGCAGCTCCGAGTACTCCTCTTCGGTAGCTGTTCCTGACTTGCCCCCCCTTCCTTGTCGGCTTCTCGCTTTAATTTCAGGACTTCCCTGTTGAGCCAAGGGGGTCCCCCAGCTCTTTTGCTGCCTTTCTTGTGAGAGGGACTAGACTTTCTTTTGAGCTTTTAGGATTGCTTCCTCCAGGAACAACCACACTTCTTGTATTCCCTTCCTCACCCGACCGTGGTCCCGCAGGGCCTCGCCAACCAAGCTCCCGTAGTAAAGTCCTACAATCAAGTCCCCCTTCCCCGCGCTCTCCCTGTATCTTGACCCAGAGGGTCTCAAGTTGCCCTTCTTGGCATCCAGCACGCGCCTCCAGGGAAGCGTGATGCTCATTTGCACAGAGAGCAGCACCCTGCTCCCAACGCGATCCCTCCTGTACAGCGTGCCTGTGGTCCAGTCATAGGTGGAGTCCCACCAGGTCTCCGGGGCCCCTATAAGACTGTGTTGCTTGTTGGTTAGTATGAGGGCTAGCTCCTCCGGCTTGTTTCCCACGCTTCTGGCATTGGTGCACAGGTGACTCAGCCTGCCGCCGGAGGCCCGAGGCTGTCTGGAGAAACCCAAGTAGTTGCTTTGTCAAAGAAGGAGGTCGAGTTTGTTTGACGTGACTTGAGTACAGTAAATCTGTGCTGGCTGCTTGTGGTCAGCCTTTCCTCCTCCAGAAGCACGCAAATGGCAAATGGCTTTCGTTCAGGCATGCTCCAGTAACTTCCCAGGTACTGAAGTGAGGCTACCCAGCCTGTAGCCCCCGTGGGTACTTCCTGCCTTTTTTTAAAGAGGGGCCCTACACTGGCCCTTCCCCGGTGCTCCGGTGCCCGGCCCGTCTCCCGCAACTTCATGAAGATCATTGCCAAGCACTCCGAGATCTCCTCTGCCCGTTCCCGCAGGGCCCTGGCGACTGAGTTCATTCATCCTCATCCAAAGCTCTGCCTCGGTTTTTAGCCCCTCCCTCAGCTTGTCCCCTTTGCTATCCAGATAATCGTTAGTAGGTTTCGGTTTAAATTTTTTTTGTGAGGACGGAGGCAAAGTAGCTGTTGAGTAGATCGGCCTTCCTGGCATTTTCTGCCAGGAGTCCCCCGGCTCGTTACCCAGGACCCACAGCTGCCTCGGTCCTTCTTTTGTGGCCAGCATCCCTAGACAACCTCGCCTTGTTGTCCTTGAACTTCCTCGCCAGGTGCAGCCCCGTCTCTATCTTGGCCTTCCTGGTTTTGTCTCTGCAGGTTCTGGCTATTTCCTGGCGCACATCTTGGTGACCTGCCCGTCCTTCCACTGTCTGCGGGCTTTCCTTTTGCACCCGAGATATCCTAGAAGCTCCTTGTGCTGCCGCGTCGGTCTCCTGCCGTCCTTCTTCGGCTTCCGTCATGTCGGGACAGTTTCCCATTGGGTTTCCCTTGGAAACGGCATCCTCCGGGTACCTGTACCCTTCAACCTATCCTCCCATGACACCATACCTATTAGCTCTTTGAGTCTGTTGAAATCTGCCTTTTTGAAGTCCAGCGTCCTAACCTTGCTGACCTCAAGCTTTCCCTGTCTCCGGATCTGGAATCGTAGCGTATCGTGATCGCTTTCCCCCCTCCCCACTGCTCATCACCTTCACGTCCTCCGCCAGTTCCCCCCGTTGGTCTGAATGAGAATCAAGGCAAGAGATCACATAGATCTGCCTTCTGGAGGAGGAGGTCGTCCACACGACTTAGAGACTGGCTGGATGTCTTGTGTCTGGCTGCACAGTCCTTCCAGCAGACGCCCAGAAAATCGGAGTCTCTCGTCACCGGTACCATGCCGTAGCTTTCAGACAGATTCGGCACCTGCCTCGAGCGCCTCATTCACCTCCTCTTCCTGATCAGGTGTCCCGTAATAAATCCCCACCATAATATTGGTGCCACGTCTTTCACCTTCACCCATTCTGCTGTGCCATCATCTTCCTCCCGAAGCAGGGAAGAAGTGCGTGTTTGACGTGCCAGGCAACACCCCCACCTCTTCTCCCAACCCAGTCCTTGCTCGGTGTTCACATTGCAGCTGCCCCACCAGGTCTCTGTGATCGTAGGTCTTTTCCCGAGCTGCAGCCTCCAGCCCATCTTGTTTATTCCCCCCACTTCTTGCATTTGTGTACGTGCATCACACACATTTTGCACGTTGACCTCCTCACTTGCCTTTTGTGCCACTTGTTGCAGTCCTGTAGCTCTCTGGCCCTTTCCCCGAGTCGAGTTGCCTCTTCGCATCCTTCCCCCTCTGCAGTCTGTTGCTGGAGGGTTTTGATCACGGTCCCCCACGGAGCCCAGTTCAAAGCCCTCCTCACTAGCTTGGCCAGGCAACGCCCAAAGATGCTCTTCTCCGTTCCCGTCAGATGGATCCCATCTCTCGCCGCCCGTTGCAGAGGAAGCCGAAGCCTCCGAGTCGACACCGCTGTCTCAGCCACACGTTCCCTTCCCGGAGATGTGGGTCTTAGCCTGGACCCTGCCTTCCACGGGAAGGATCAAGAACCCCACCCCATCCCGGGGTCCTCCTGCTTTGAGCAGTGCCACGCTGCCACCTCTCCTCCTGGCCCTTTAGCCCCTCCAGTACTAGCCTTTCTCCCTCCTGTCCAAGTCGTCTTCCCAGACCTCCTCCTCCAGGCCAGACACCAGCTTCCACCTCGTGCCGTGGTCTGGACCCTCGGGGAGGTGCACGCGCATGCACGCGGCTGTGCCTGTCCCCGGAGGCCCCCTCGCGCTGACCCCCTCCACCCGCAGCTCCTGGACACGTGGGAGGCCTTCGTCTTCCAGCAGCAGGAGGCCTCGGACTTCATCACCTTGCGGCGCCTCAGTATCGTGGACGAGCTGGAAGAGTCGCTGCAGCGGGCGCGGCAGGAGCTGCACGACCTGCTGGCCGCGGCCACCACGGGCCGGTTCCGGGACCCCGCGTCTAACGCCCGCGCCGCTGAGCAGGACCTGCGCACCCTGCTCCTGCGCTTCCAGGCCACGGCTGCCCGCCTGGACGAGCTCTGCCACTCCCAGAAGACCCTCACAGGCACGGCCGTCCTGCCCCGCCGCGTCCGGGCCCCCCAGCCCTGCGTC